TCTCAAAAGGGCCATTTAACAACATCCGATTCCATTTAATTGCAGATATGATATTACTAGGCCTACTTACCAGTCGCATCCGTTCACCTGAAGCAACCCTGATAGCTTATGATTGTGCAAACCCAGCAGCAAATATCACAGTGATTTCCCTTCGAGATGTGAAGCCCTGTCCTGATCCAGAATCCAGTTATATCAGTTTTGAAGTCCAAGTTCAAATATTTGAGAAGAAAAGATTCGAGAAAATACAAGTCAAGACATGCCTCGTGGAGGTAACCCAATTGATATCTCATTGTGGAGCCTTTTCACATACATCAATGGTAGCTGTTGGCCTATTAACCTATATACATCAAGTAGGAAGCAAAGATTGCAGAAAAATGAATTCAAAGAATACAGAGGATTTTCTGGTCAAGTAATAAAACTAAATGCTAACAGTTCTCATAGCACTTCAGCCACCCTTGCCGGTTCTTTGGACAGCAGCGGATCATGTAAAGGAGTAAGCTATAGTTTCAATGGAAGAGAATGGCATAATGTTATTGTAACTGCCAGTTTAAAACTCACAATTAGAGATAACTTGACAGTTGCCAAATTAGAAAATAATGAAATAGTCTTGCATAATGAAGTCACTTGTCCGTATTTAAAGGGTTACTGCATGGATTTCAATATTGGCGAAACAGTATGGGAACAATCGTATTGTAACCAATATTTAGTGGTGGAAGATCGCACGAAGATATTTGCTCTCCAACTGATTAAACAGGAACAAATGTGTTATCGCAAATTATGGAGTACTGAGCATCCTCAACTGCTAGTAGAAGAATATAATAAAGGAAACCCCTATAGCCCATGGATGAAATCTGATTCCAATGATGCAGACCTCATAACCTATATAAACACCAAATTCATGTACGTGGAACAGTCTTTCAAACGCAGTCTGAATGATATGTTTATCCAAACCATACATCGCCGATGTCTCTTGCATAGAGGAATATTAAAAAATCGACTAACTTTAGCCCCTTCATCACCAAATTCAGTTGCCACCTTAATGAAAAACCGACTTGGATATATTGCCAAAATAAGTGGGGAAGTAATGTACATTATGAAATGTTTACCTAATACCATCGAGATACGCGGAGAAACATCCTGTTACGTCGAGTTATCTGTTATAGCCTAAAATACCTCATATTTCCTATCACCCTTGACTAGAATTCTTTGAAAACATTCTCAAGAAATCGAGTGTAATTCTCTCATTACGCCTATGTTCTATTTGGAAAATAAGTGGGTTGGATTCGACCCCTATCCCAACATCGGCATTAACCCTGTAGAATTGAAAGTGGATGACGAAGATTTGTTCAACCTACCATCTATTCAAAGATTGAGTACAGGAGGAATATATACTGATCAGGAAATACGGAAAGCCCAGGAATCTATGATATTTGGAATAGAAGAACAAGCTTTGAGTAATATAATTCTTAGGAAGGTTGCCGGAAAACCAGTGGAAAATCAAGGGTTCACGGCGTTAAACCTATTTAACAAGGAAGAACTAGAAAAAATTACGAATTCTACACTGAAGAAATTATATGGATGGTTCTTATGCTCAGGAGAATGGACTAGTGGTTTACTTGGAATATACTTTATCTGCAAAATATTGAAATTTACGATTGAAGCGGTACTAAACGCAATCGCAATACATAAAATTAAAGGTTGTTCTTTACATATGCTTGCCTCATTTTGAGATACTCTGACGGTATTTATCATCAGTCGACATAACCAGCCGGAAACACCATGTGAGGAACCCGGACAAGATAAACAACTGCATACCCACCTACCAGACCCTTCGGCGCCAGAGCAGGTAAAAATTCAGCCGGTCACACTAACTATCGACGATGAGAATGTTGGCAACCAACAGAACCTATTTCTACCATCGACACCAGTACAGGGAAATCCACCCATAGCCAAGTATCAAAAGCTACGACATGACTTGCAGAAAATATCTAATCCATTCCATGCAGTGGGATGGGAATTTAATAAAAACTAACCAGAAGGCAGCATTACCCGGAAAAGGACCCTCTATACAGAACGCGAGAATTAGGATAGATGGCGATACATGTATATAATTGAACTGAAAATAGCAAAATTCAACCACAAGTCAGGAGTTAATGCCTACAATAATAAACTAATGAAAGAAGTTCATCGGATAAATCTACGAATAAGTAATAACCCAAATTTTTATGCATCATCAGCAGATAGATCAATGATATGGACCATATCGACGAATATTATGTTACTAAAACGTGCCATAGGATGATTCGGGGATAAACCAATAAAAGGCCTAAGAACTAGAAAATCATTCCAGTTGATTCAGAAAGTGCGTGGTAGAAGTTAAACCTAATTAAAATGGATCATTTATTAGATTCAGTGAGGACATTGCCCCTAAATGAAGGAAAAATACAAGTGTTGAGAATAATTCTCAACAATATCGAACGAGAACGGGAGTACCTCAACCGTATATAACCGTATGGTAATTTTGAACACCGACAGTGGGTGATAGACTCCATGCGGATGTTCCACCTGGAGCTGATGAGGTCCGAGAGGGTGCTTCACCACTATCACGAATGTGCCGGGTGCCGACAGGTGGCGATGGGCCCGAAAGAACTTCCCTAAGCTCCGCCACCCTATCAGGAGGTAGTACCCCAACCTAACCAGGGCGGTCCCTTGGTCGCACCCCCAGCTGCAGTAACACCAGCAGGAAATGATCTGCCTGCACCGGAACTTCCACAGGCGGCCCCACTGCCTCTAAGACAGCCTGTCGTCCCTCCGCCTAGTGGGTCTGCCAGGCTGGACCTCAGCTGAAGGTTACAATCAGGAGGCGTCAGTGAGTGAGTTAGAAAAAAAAATCATACCATAGACCATGACTTTATGGATTGTAAGGTTAAATCGAAAAATTAGGGTATGTAGGTATAGATATAAAAAAAATTTTTTTCATATACTTTTTAATCAACAATAGGTTGATAATATAAGTCAGCATGATTTTCACACTTCAAAATTAATGAAGCATATAATTAACGAGGGAGGGAGGTAAAGAGAGAAGAGAGTTAGTTATTAAAATATACTTAATCATAACGTGAGGTAGAATAAAATCAAAAAAATAGTTTGCATCCATTTATGAGTGGGCTAGGTTAGGTACATTTAGTTAGTTCTAAGAATATTCACGTTATCTGGTGTATCTTGATAATTTGGACCGGTTTAGTAGTTATTATATATTATATATATGAGACGGATTTGTGAAAAATAGAAAAAAAAAAGTAATTGAAACCGCTGATCAAAATAATAACCTCTCAATAATCATGTTTCACCAAACACCCATCTAGCCATGTGAGTGGCATCATTTATTCAGGATTATATGTATGAAATAAGACCACTTTAAAAATGTATAGGGTCGCGCCAAACTCGATATAGGTCACTAGAGCTGAGCATATGATGTTTAGATTATATAAACAAATTCGATAAATTCAAAACAAACAGCCGTAGGAAGAGAAATAGCGAAGATGATTTAAATTATGAACCATATGATTACAGAAACCATATGAGGTTACCTGAGATTTTCTTACTCTACAGGGTGTAACGAGATCAATATGTTTGAATATATAATCTCGTCTTAGAGGGATGGATCGATTGTAATGAACTGACCTTTGGGTTTAGGATATCAAGTAGTAGTATAGACGAGTAATAATTAGAATAAAGTATTTGTATAAAAATTACCTATGATTGTTCCATAGTAACACATCTATTGAGCAATTTCTAAGACTAGCGACTAGACTCGAGGACTCCTCGAATAAAAATGAAATTTGAGAGTATTACTGAACGAAAGATTGAACTCATATTGAATGAAAGAGGAAAGTCATAGAGTAGGGATAATATGGGAGAATGCTAGCCGAAAACCAATCAGAAAAAGGATAATGAATCAAATAATAATGGAATTTTTCGCTTCAACTTCAAACAGTTCCAAGGGTTTTGTTATAATTAAATATAATATATTGGCAGAACATTTTTCATGAGATCCACTGACATTTATCGATATAATAAATTGCATTATTTATTGCCAAATTCATGGTCATGCAGATGGCCAGGTCATTGATTATATGCTTAATTACCCCATGAATTTATCAAATTTAATTTCTTCTTTCGCGATTTAATGGCTCTTTTTTCCACTTCTTCCCACCACCAATTACTATAAAAAAAACTCCATGTCCAGAGCGAAAAAAGTCAGTCTTGATCGAACTCTTGATACGAAGTCTCATGTCTTGAACCAGTAACTCTGCTAAACAGTCTAGTTATACGTAATATGTAGTTGATATTAGAAATTGCTCAAAAGTCTGTACCTAGTGAACATATTGTGTTGCTGCAATAGATGTGTATCGAGAATTATTGAACTTTCATGAAACTGTATTAACTTTTCAAAGTGACCCGGTATAATAGTGCGAGTGTACATCATCCTGTCATCATGAATAACCAACCAATATTATGTAAGCACATCTGTTTTACTTCCATGTCAACTCTGCCTGTCCATAATATGATGATTGCTGAATAGAGATTCATGTATTTTGAACTGCCGTATTAATGTCTATATACACCAATCTTACTCCTGCCTAAGTATTCACGAACCCAGTGAATCAGTAACTTTGTGAAGTCCCTGTATAGGCCAACCCAAGAAAAGGTGTGCTCTACACAGGCTTCCAATTGGTCGAGAATATTGGGTGTGAAATTTTCAGCGTAATGATTTAGTGAACGCTTTCACAGTGAAATTTGGATTTTACAGATGGGTTCTATTCATGTAGAACTGAAGAACCGATCGAAATCGAACCAGGAAAATCAGTCATCATAAAATGGCTAGAAAACAAAAATAACCATCACGTTATTTCCTACAAGGACGTTTCATCAACTGATTCAATTTTATGCAAAGTTACTCTGAGAAAAGTTGGTCGAAGTAAATTTCTATTTCTCAGAATTTTTTCGGAAGAAATTGAACAGGAGTTGCAAAATATCATTGGTATAGGTTCTACAGCTTCAGGAATTCTTAATGTGGGAATAGAAAGAATCAATTATTCAAATGGGGTAGGAAACATCAATAGAGTAGATGAAACAAATGGGCTACTCGAAGCAGATGTAGCTGACGAAGAAATTGATGGAAATGCATGCGAAAAAGTTGCTAATATAGAAGTAAGTAATGGAAACGTCATTTCTGATCATGAACGAACCATCCAAAATGATATTCCAGACCTCAACTTTGATTGTTCGGATATTCGAATTTATAACAGCAGCCTTTTTGAAGAAGTCGAGCGGAATTTTGGTGAGATTGAATGTTTAGTCAAATCAAATTCGGAAAATAAGGACATTTTTAATGAAGGTGAAGTTGGCCTAGAAATTATTTGTGAAGGAGATAAACAGATTTCCGTCTTGCAAGATATCTCAATGAATTCGAATCAGCTCTATCATAGTGTAGAAGAAGAATCTTCGAAATCAGCAAAAAACAGATTTACCGCAACTATATAATAATGATTACGAACAAGAGAATCTGAATCTACCATCCGATAATAAGAGTGAAAATGTGGAAGCAGATTCGTTTAAACTCAAGGACGTAACCTGAAAGTCCGAATTATTCCGCATACAATACAGAAAATGGATCATATCCAGCTATCCATCATGTCGAGAAAAATGAAGCTAACGTAAACGTTCCTACACATAATAATGAAATATTCGAAGCTATGGTATATTCTTTCAACGCAGATAATGGCTACCAATCAGTTCCACAGACTCCTAAAAATTTGACCGATAATGATCGAGAATTGATTTCAGGAGATAGCAAAATCAATACTCCTCGCGATAATTCTGTGTATCCGAATGAAACTTCGATATCAAATAATACTAGACAAAAATTTGAAAGTAGCGGAAATGAATTCATTTCAGATATACTAGCTTGGAGAGCATCAGGTCCTCCTAGAGATACCGAAAGTCCCCAAAATCCAGGTGAGTATCAATAATAACGAGGGAAAAAAGCATAACCATTCGCTCTCAGGCATTGAAGCTGGAAAACTATTTCAGAGTAAGAAGACCAGTATATCTAAACCCAAAGTAAAAAATTTACGTAAAATGGATCACAAGGAACGAAATTATACTTCCCCAAAAGTGCCAGAATTTTATTCATTTATGTAAACTGACTAACCTCCAGAAAAACAAATTTTATATCAACGAGTTGACAAAATAGCCGGTTCTGTTAAGTATAATAAGCTACACTCTTGTTTCATTTGTCATGATAAATGCATCGAACTCAAGCATAAAGACAACTTCGGAGTTGCTAGAATATTAGCCAAGGATAAAAAATGTTCGGAACGGCGAAACGGGTTTATAGAACTCATAATAGTTGGTGACTTTCACCACAATATAGAAGTATTGATGACCAAAGAGGGTGAACTGATTTTGGAGCGAAGACCGGAGCATGCCAGTGCTTTATCTGTTGACGATTACGGCCCGTGCCCATATTGCCTGGGTTTCATGTTGCAACATATCAAGAAATGTACGAAGAGATGTATGTCAGACTCAGAAATAAAGAAATCCTCTATACTATTAGAAAGTAAAGCTATAACGAATGTGATATTATGCGAAGGACATACGGATTTCCAAGATAATGTTTTGAAAAGTCTCAAGAATGATAATATATCATATTTATGTAAAACTGACAAGCTGATTTCCGGAGTTGACATGATGCTTTATGAAGAACATGGTGGAACTCAGAATCAATTAATACGACAGACTATGCGCCAAATGGAAAGATTATTGCAAGAACTAAAAAATACTAAGCCTGATTTCAAAACGAAAACTCTTGCTTTTTTCATTGCTCCCAAATATTTTGACCACATTGTGGATAGTGTTGAAACAATCTGCGAAGTAAGCAGGAAGAAAAATGAGAAAATGGAATATGGAATTCCTTCTTTAGCACTCAAACTTGGACATAGTCTGAGGAAGTGTGTTGCATACTTGAGAGGCCAATCTCTCAGAAATGGTCTGACATAAGAAGATCAAGCATTGAAACCTTTTTTTGAGCTGCTTGATATGGAATGGACCATGAAGGTTCCACCTAATGCTCTGTCTACAATGGCAAGAGACAAATGAATTCTACACAATTACTACCTCTAACGACTGATCTATTGAAATTAAACCAGTTTATACGAAAAGAAATAGATGTATTCAAAGTGTTGCTTCAGAATAATCCTGAAGAAAGGGATGCTTGGTTGAGATTGGCTGAAGTAACTTTAGGATAATCCTCTTTAATGAAAGAAGAAGTGGAGAAATATCGCGAATGACCCTCGAACAGTATACCAGTAATCCAGACTGGCAAGGTGAAAATGCGCAAGAGTTGCAGAATTCACTAACACCATTAGAGAAGCATCTTGCTAGTGAGCTCAAACTAGTACAAATGAGGGAAAAAAGAGGTCGAACTGTTCCTCTTGTATTGACTCCGGAAATGGTATCAAGTATGAACTTATTGATATCAACCAGATCTGTTGTTGGAATATCATCGGATAATATTTATGTATTCTCCAGAGTTTATAATAATTCTTTATATTACATCAGAGGTTCAGATGCTCTTCGAAATGTCGTAATGAAAGCTGATCTCGAAAGGCCAGCTTCCCTCACAAGTACGAAGTTGAGGAAATATATCGCAACTGTAACTGAAGTTCTTGACTCAAAGGAAAATGAAGTTGACTGGTTGGCTAGACATCTTGGACATGACATTAAAGTCCATAGAAACTTCTATAGACTGCATGAATCAGCTGTAGAACTGACCAAAATAAGTAGATTATTTGATTTTTTCAATTTATTCACTTTGACTGTTTTGCCACTTTTGGTTCCAACGCCATTAAAAAAAAAGTGGAATGCACTGGAAGCCCAGTAAAATCGAATTATTGGATGGCTTCATCCAATTTGCAGATGTGAGTATAATAAATATTTGAATCATGCAAGTCGGTGCTATACACTGAATTTACTGACATTTTTCGAATTTTAAATGATATATTTATTTTATAATATGCATTATATGGTTTCTATCGAATAAGTATAGATATTTATTGAGTATTGACCTCAATTACAGTTCTTTTCACCATTGTCTTCTCGGTCTGAGATTGATTAACCTCAATTTTATGGAAACTGACAGATACTAATAACATTCCCTCCTGCATTATCAGGAAGTGATTGGTTATAGTGATCCTATTCTAATTTCGAAAATGTATTGCAGACTGCTGCTGATTTGCAAACGGAATTAGAGAAGGAAAGAAAAATACGCATCGAAAAATTTGACTGCTCAGCCGATTCCATGCATTGTAGGAACTGGAAATGTATCCTCGTATGTTTCCGTGAATAAAACACTATATAAGGTGGAAACCCCATTGAAAGCGATAGATTTGTGTTTCAAAATATTTCATGCGCTGAATGCAAGGTACCCTTACGAAGCTGAATTCACCTGGACCTTTTTACAAATAGGTATTCATGGAATGAATACCAGATATGACAGAAGTTTCTCCTCAGTTAATACCTTATTAGCTGATATAGATGAAATTGCGTAGGTAATATAAATCTAGTTAATGTTTATGAATTATGTAACAAACATTTCTGATCCACAGATGAAAAATGTACAACTTTTTATGCTTTCGATGTAATGATATGTTCCCTTTAGTCGGTGTATTATTGAAACATTTGAAAAATAATCATCTATTGAGTGAAAATGTTTCATATTACTGTAAACAAAATTTGTGCTTTCGTGTATTCAGCAATATTAATTCTTTCAGGAAACATTTATATGCTCATGAAAAAAATAGGTCGGTTGCGGAAGTAGAACAGGATATTGTTCCTCATAATAACCACTCTATTGAGGAAGAACATTCTGTTAGTACGGAAATTCACTTATCAGATGTTCCGAATGCATCAAATTCAAATGTAGACTTATCTGAAGATTTGAATAATATGGAAATTATAGAAACCAATGTTTTTACTAGTGATTCTGAGATTTCATCAGTAGATGAGGAAAATGATTTTGTAGAAGCAAACACTTCAAATCAGTCACTTCATTTTCTGAAAGATAATGTCTTGGATAATGTGAATGATGCATTGAATCTCCAACTGGCAGAATGGGCTGTAAAACATAATGTTAGACAAACAGCAGTTACTAATCTGCTCCATATACTAAAACCATTACATCCACAACTTCCATTAGATGCTAGAACTCTTCTAAATACTCCTAGAGAGAACTACGAAAGAGCCACAATGCTCACAGTAGAATAAAATAGTAAATAAATGTGAAAAGCTCACAGTCATTTCCACCCAGTGTTCATAAAATGAACAACAATGGTAGATTTCAGGAGAAAAACAACTACTTCCCTGGCTAATGCCACGCAGGATATTGAATTACATCCTCCCGAAATCTATGCATCGACTCGTTTAAACGAATACTGATACAAGTGATTCTTTCCTGAATGCCTATTGATTTCGATTAAGCCAGGCCGCTAGACAACCACAGACCGGTTTCGAGCTCTTTGACTCTCATCAGTGCAGTGTAGTCTCCAGCCAGCAGTCCTTAGACCGCCGACTCAGCGAAGCCTAGCCAAACAAAAATCGAGTTGGCATTATATCCACCCCGAGGCGTCTTTCATCGATGAAATGGAAGTAACGCTATCTGAGTAGAACCGAGGAAAGAATCACTCCAAAACTGAAATTCCCATACGGGAGTGGCTGGCAGCCCGACTGGCGTGATATGAACTACGAAATATAGTTCACAGATTCCAGCTGAATTCAGTCGACAAAGTAGATCATTAATTGAAGTGAAGAGATGGAAAGCAACAGAGTTTAGAATGTTCTTACTATATTTAGGTCCTGTTGTGTTGAAATCGGTGTTGAGCACAGAAACATATATTCACTTTCTTACTTTACATATTGCAATTACAATACTATCCAGCAAAAAATTTGTTCATTTCATTGATTATGCAGGTTCCTTATTGAAGTATTTTGTTGAGTCATTTGAAAACCTATATGGAAACGAATATATCTCACACAATGTTCACAGTTTACTACATTTATGTGATGATGTTAAACGATTTGGTCCACTAGATATGTTTAGTGCTTTTCCTTTCGAAAATCATATGCAAGTATTGAAAAAATTTGTTAGAAAAGGAGACAAACCAATTCAACAGATAGTGAGAAGAATTCATGAACATAATTATTTTATGTTTAGTGATGTGAATAATGTACAGCTACCAGAACCATGTATAGAACATTCTTGTGGTCCTCTTCTACTGGACATGAATTCTTTGAATCAATATAAAAAGGTCAAATTCCCAAATTTCGTTTTGAGTGTAAGTCAGGTTAGGTTAGGTTAGGTTGTCTGAATGATAATAGTTTGATAATTATCAGAAATTTTGTTATTGATGGCAATAATACTATAAACATAATAGGACAAGCATATTCTAAGATGGAAAATTTGTATACCCTGTAACTCATCAGAATTAGGAATTTTTATTTGTAGTGATCTAGGCACATTACAGGCATGGCCGCTTAGTGCAGTCAGTAATAAATGTATGAAACTTGCAGTAAATGATGATGAATGTGTGGTTTTTCCACTTCTGCATTCAGAATAGTAATAGATGATGGAATTAGGAACCTAATATTTATGAAAATAGTATAATTGTTTGAAATTCAATCACTTCATCACTCATTTGCCAAGTATTTTATTTGTTCAAGTGAGAATATGAGATTGTTTTATTAGATATTGCCAAAGATTGAATAAGATTTGTTTGTAAAATTAAAAATCAGCTGAAAAATGTACATTCCTTCTAAGAAAAATGTATTCAGTGCCAACCCTGAATTTGTACCCTATGTTCTACTTATATTATTTCATATTCCAAATATTGTTCTTGATTATTCAATCACTTATATTTTTCTTTGAGCTTCTGAATCATGGCTGATACATGGACTGTAGTAAAATTTGAAGAAGAAAATTCTGTAGAGGCTATACCAACAACTTGGCTGATGGGCAATGATCATTGCTATTGGCCACCTTACACATGAAAAAATACAGCGAGCAATCAAAAAACACGACCAACCAAACACTTGTTGGCCTCTGCATAAAATTGAAATTTTCAAGAGCGGAACTTATGGTGAGTATTGATATTTTTTGCAATTGTAATGTGTAGGTACTGAAAACATTTATTCCTTGAGAAAACATTTTATGAAGATAATAATTTCCTTGAGAGACTGACAATTACTGATAATATGAGATACATTCCTTGATATTGAATGGTTTTCATATGATTTGATTTTATGCTAGTTCCCTATAGCAGATGGAGGTTTATGAATGTTCATGAAATGTTTAATGACAATATTTTAGCAAGATGCAAATTTTGATCAGTAATTGAAATAATTAGTTTTCTATTATTGAATAGGAAATGAATACATTCTGATGTTGACATTGGCATTTTCACTTTTCCAGACAACTATCTTCAAGCTCGGACCAAAGCCAAAAAGGCAGAAAATGAGAGTGATTTGAACTCTGATCTTGATATGAGTAAACGTAGAGTGAGGCGGAGAAAAGTAATATCCTCAGATGACAGTTCAAAATCATCTACTGAGGAGCTGGACACAGTAAAATGGCATAAAAAATGCTCCCAGAAGAAATAAACTGCCCCACCTAAAATACCTACCATATCAAGTACACGTTATACAGTCCAATCAAGAAGTCAGCTTGATGATCCAGTTCCTGTAATTCCTGCAATACTTGATTCTGTTAGCAGTAAATCTATTAATGGTTGGTATTCTTTCATGACGCAATGATAATAATTGTATTCAAAAGTATGTTCAGTTTCGACATTTCATTCTTGTTATATGTTTCCGATGAATTATTCTGTTGTTGCTGTCGGGTGCACAGAAGTGGTGAGTTGATTATACAGTGAGGATGTAAAAAGTCCTCCTCACTCTTTGACTTTGGAACAGAACAAGCTATCGAGGTCGGGTCAAATTCAGGTGCT